TGTCTGCCCTCCATCCTCTAAAAAACCCCTTGAGCGCCCTGAAGAAGTTTGGCACTTTAAATGCCAAATGGCAAATGCCAGCCGGGAAACCACTCTCCACTAATCCAGTCCCAAAGTCCATCACTGCACAAACAGTTCAGTTCGTTGCAATTATCCCCGCCTTGCGAACCCACCTGAGGCTATCGGTGAATCTCTTTTTCATTTCCTTTATGGCCAATCGCATATGGTACGGCCACACAGTATTATAGTTAGTGCCACTCCCACCCGCCCCTCTCTGAAAAATTTCCAACAATTGTCATATTATACTTTTAGGTTCTATTCATCCGGCTCGCTCCATTGTCCTCCTGCCTTCACATGGCGACCACTCCCTTGGTTTCCCTTTTGATAACCATGTCGACGAAGGGCGCCACTTGCACCCTGTGTACCTGCAGCTGCAACCTGGATGGCTCGACGACGAGGAGTGCTCGAAAGATATGGGAAATCTGTGGCAATGGGCTTGAAAAGGAGGGGCATAGACAGACATAGACAGACAGTCCCTTCTTAAACAATAACATTTAATAATAAATGCGGACATAATGGAGCATATCGAAATAAAGTAAATAGTTGTTTACATGGAACATCAGTTCTGAAATCGATACTACTAGCTCTTAACTTGCTAAATTTAGTAAAAATAATATTTTCGATTTCAACAAATTACCATTTGTTTTTTGGTTTTTGAGTAATTTGATAACTTACAAACGTTTTATTTTGAGGAGAGTGGGGTCACCTTTTATGTAATAATTTTGTTAAGAATGAAGTAATATTTATTAGTTTTCTTGTTTTTAAGAAATTTGATAACTCCAAAACGTTTTATTTTGGGAAGGAGGTATGTCATCAAATTGGGGCCACCTTTTATAGAAAGCAATTTGTCTGCCAAGATCAATTTTATAAGCAGCTAATTGGGTCTTTTATTTCGTTTTGGAGGTCAGGTGAGATCAATTTTTTAATGGGCTCTCCTTCTCCTTTGTTCCCCCGCATATGAGAACATTTGAGTTAGTTGACAGGCAAGTGTGAGAACTTTTTATGGCCTCTACGGGGGGTCGCCACAAAGAATAGAATTTTTACCCACTTAGAATGGGAGTAACCTCGGGGAGAGAAAGTTGAGCCATTTGGCCAACTGTAAGAATGGTCTTTGGAAGAGGTGTCACCACTTGACGGGGTCACCCCACAAATGGGGTCATCACACAGACATTTTTTAGACATTTAAAGGCACACTTGCAAGGCGTCAACTCACTTGACTTGCCAAAAGCGAAAAGAACATTCCAATCCATGCCGAAATAAGAAAACATCCCTGGTTCTCAAGCAACCCTCGTGGGGACTAGGACCAAAACTCTGTGGTTTTTTCTGCAGAGCAGGGCGGTTAATGACCATTCATTGTCTTACCTGACCCACTTGTTCCACTGCCTCCCGAGTTACGAGTTGCTTCGAGTTCGGTGAGTCAGAGCCTTGATGTATAATTTGTATTTAAAATGCAACAAACCATAATTTTAAAGTTGAAAACGCCGCTTGTGCGTGCAGTTTGTCAAAAAGAAGGTGGGCAGGCTAAATGGATGGGCATGGATGATGGAGAGAGGAGGCAACCTGCGGTGCGACTGAAGAAACGGAATGAAATTATTAAGTATTTGCCTGGGCCGGCAGTTGGAGGAACAAAGGCCAAAGCTTTTAAATATTTAATAAGTATACAAAAATGAAGGAATCGAGAGGGAGCGAAACGCAGGGACATTCGCCTGTTGTTGAGTCATGTCAATTGACTGACTGAGTGTCCCGCTGTGGCGAGGGAAATGGAAGTGGGTATGGAAGTGGAATCAATACCGTGGATGGCCGCCTGCAGGGTTCCCGAGTACTTGTAAGGATATACATATACACACGCACACACACACACTCTCTGACGCACTAACGGTGACAATAAATGAGTAAAAATGACTTCAACGAAACGAAAATGAAACGACAAACCGTCGGGCGGACAGACGGCCGAAATCTGTCATCAACACGCCGCCAGTGAAGAGCAAAAGATATGAAGCGGCGAACCTGGCTACGACGCACTCACAGATACTCACAGATACCCACGCACACCCATGCAAGAGCCATGAAATTTGATACGATGCGTGTGCGTCAGTTGGAGTGAAAAGGGAGGGGAGCGGGGTGAACACAGGCAGAAGGACACAGGAGAGTCCAAAGATATTTACATTTAATAATTTGGAGCGCCCTATTCTTGGGTATTTGCATAAAAACTTATTTAAATTTGTTAAACAAAATTTTACTACTTCACGAACGCAACCAAAGCTCATTTATAACTGATTTTAAACCAACAACAGCCAGCAATTAAAAACTCACTCATAAAGACATTAACCGAATCATTAAGCGTAGTCACAAAAACGGGAACTTTTTTTCGATTTTAAATAATTGGTCTTTATCTAGGATTAGATTATAAAATATAAAAGTTTAATAACAGCCGATCTGTATTTCAAATTTGTTTTTCATTATCCTAAGAAAGTGCCTGGATAATGTTCTTCTCTGCTCTTTTAAATGAAATAATATAAACCTCTTATATCATACTCCCCCAGGCATCGATCCAAAGTCCAAAAGAGGGTGGTTCGATGGGTTATGACCGGTCAGATTAATAGAGCGTCAAATTTTTATTTGCTTTGCTGCGTCTGCCAGTCCTTAAAGATATTTACTTTATGCTTCGTCTAAGAATTAATAAAGAATAACGTGATTTATGTTATGCCATAGGCGTTGGTTGGGGGACAAACTTCCACTTTATTGGCCAGACATATGACGGAATGACAGTACTTTGTGGTTATGTTTCATTTATGCTGTTGTTTTTATTAAGCCTTGGCAAAATATGAACCATTGATGGTATTTTATTGTTATTACGAGATAAACTGCGGGGTTCCCTTGCTTTTGCCGACTTAACCATAATTTTAGTATGTTGTGTTGTGTCACAAGGAAGAGGAATTATGATGGTTTCTGGTGTAATGGGAATTTTCATTAGGATATTTCCTTGGTTATGTTGTTAGAAGATTAATTCAAGAATTTATGAAATTTTCTTGATGATTTGTTTACCTTCCTGGTGAGATTGCGTGTACTTTAGGGCCATAATGGAACATCCTGGCTCACATTCCACATCTTCTCGTCAACCTTTTGACTCCAGGGGCGAGTCTCGTGGCTGGTGAAATTTACAGCCCTACCTGTCCTAATCCCGGTGATGCAGCATGCTGCTCGCAGCAACATATTTCACTTCTCTGGGCCAGAACAATGCGAAGGCTTTTAGGGGAGGCGAAAAGAAGACGCTCGCTCTACCTGACCCGAAATGCGGAAAACAAAAGCCGAGACAAAAAGCAAAACTACGTCGCAGAGAGCTCAACTGCAACACGCATTGCACCTGGGATTCCGATGGTATAGGGTTGTATGGGATTGGGCAGGGGATTTTGGGCGGACTCAGCGCACGCCTCAGATTCTCCCTTTCGGTTTTTATGGATTTGTGAAACATTTTATAACTTTACATGGAAATGTAGTGTGTGTGCGCGAGTGGCGCAGGTGGGGCTGTTTATTATGGTAACCTCGAAAACAAGTTGAAACCCGAGACATAGCGACAAACTAAATAATGCCCAGCTTTGTATTTGTCCATTTCGATGATGATGGGCCCACACAGTCGAGATAAAGATAAACACGAGATAAATGAAGATTGCGTTTCGGCACTCGAGGCGCCATTGTAATAATAAAGCCACCAATCCACCAAAAAAGTAATAATAAAGCCCAAGCCTAAATCAAATAGAGCATAATCTGCTGAGGGGGCATACACTTGATCGTCATCATCACTTGTTTTTTGGGGCTGGGGGCAGATCAAGAAACGAAAACGAAATGAAAACGAATGCGTGGCACAAATTGAATCTGATTGTTCAAGTAGAGTCGTCGGGTCTCGGTCGGTCTCTGTATCAAATGTAAATCAGAGGCGGGCATCCATCCATCCCCCTGCATTCGCTTTATTCAAATTCAACTCAAAAACAGCTGCTACACTTCATTACCATAAGGTTCGCCTTGGCTAGCACTCCCAATTCCCGAGTCCCCTCTCGTTGGGCATGCAATTTGATGTGTGATTATGCCTTTTTGTTGCTTATCAAAATGAAAATTCAAATTCAACTATAACAGCACATTGTTTACAACGCCCCCGAACCCCTTCGTCCCTTCACCCCTTGTTTGGGCCCTAAAAACATCCAAACAAAACCCAATCCAGAGCAACAGCAGCAACATCAACGGCAGCAACACTTGGAGAGCTGCAAAAGTGACACTTCTAAGAGATTAAAGTGACATGTAGTGGTCCGTATATTCAGGCTATATGGCGACGGCTAGCGACGGACTGTCTGACGAAGAGACACCTTCCACCACTCGAAAGTGGGGAAAGTCGAGGGGGAGGGGCAGGGGCTGGGGCAGGGGCATTACGAGTCGAGTGCGAGTATTTGTTGGGCTCCATGCATAGATTAATAAATTATAAGCCGCTTCTCTGAATGGAGTCGCTCTGATTACACTCACAGAAAATGGGTGAAAATCGGGGTTAGGCTCTCTTGAACAAAATCAAGTACGTGGGGGAGGAATTATATGCCCAAAAGCAGGAAAAATTAGTATTCCAGATCAGATTAATCAAAGGGACCTGAAATATAAGCCTCAATTAAAACAAATTAAAGAAGGTCAAAGACTAAAACATTTCTTGGAAACTCTCACTTTGATCAATCAGCCATCAAGGCATATGGTTATTTTGATTGTCACAATTGAATTCCAAATAGGAACAAAAAAACATTAGAAAGTCAATATGACACAAAACATATTTATATGTATATATACAAATCATCGTATATAAAAAATTTATATGTTTATTATTACATTTTAAATGGTTTAGCCCTATCTTGACTGAAAAACCAAGAAGCACATTAATCATATATCTATATAAATAAATAGATATAATTAAAAAATATTTATGTTTCTAATTACATTTTAAATGGCTTAGCTCTATCTTGACTGGAAAATCCATAAGCACATTAGACATTGGCTAAATGTGTAAGCTTGTTCGTCAAAGCAACGCTCAATTAAAATTTAGTTATGGTATTACCATTGGTCTCCTATGATGTGCCAAAAGCTAAAGCTTGTGATCCGTTTTTTGCTGACCATGCACTTGATCAGTGAAGTAAGTAGATCTTAGTTTTAACAAGCTTTACATTCCATTACTAGGTTGTTAACTTGAATTTCAGTCAATTTCGCTGGTCGAGTTTAAGAACATAAAGTGTGAATCATTGGATGAGGAATTTTGCACTTTTGACTATTGCTATTTGAAATCTGTGAACCGTTCATACAAGTATTTTTCGCTCAGAGTCAAATTGTTAAAACTACCAGTAACCAATGCCAAGGTATGTCGCGAAATATTTAAATTGGATTTTGCGAATCCTTAAAATTGTAACCTAGGTAAATGGTGCACTTTACCAACGACTCAATGGATATAAGCCCTTTTTGTACAACATAACGGTGGATGCCTGTAAATTCTTCAAGAATCAGAAGTCAAATCCCATTGCCAGTTTCTTTTACGATGCCTTTAAAGGATATTCAAACCTAAATCACTCCTGTCCCTACAACGTAAGTAGGCGCTGATCACAGAATCCCACAAAAATGTTATCTTTATTTAATGTATTTTAGCATGATCTTGTGCTGGATAAACTTACTGCGGAGTCTGTAAATCATCGTGTGACTAAAATTCTACCTTTTCCACCGGGAGAGTACATGGTGCATATGAACTGGATTGCCTATAATATTAACCGAGCTGTCTTTAAAATATATTTAGCATTAACGTAAACTAAATTAGCTATGGGGGCTATAAGTACTTTTCATGAAGAATTTATCTGCAAACAAGGTGGCGAGTTTCAATCAATTGCTCATAAACGAAACCAAGTTGGTCAAGAACTTAGTATTTTGATATTGTCCATCAAAACTGTTTTTAAACATCAATGTTCTAATTTAAAAAGTGGACTTGGATATAAAGAATACAAATTCTGAATGAGCATCAGTTAGTAGTTGGTAATTAGACTCTAAAGCATTCTAACGAAATTATTTATTTCTTCTTCAGTTTCTTGCAGTGCACCTTTCGCTACCCTGTTCGCTTTCTTTTCCACTCAACTCCTGGGGGAAAACGGCAGTCGGTCCCCTGAGCATATGTACACCCCCCTCCATTTGGATCCCCTTTCCATCCGATTTTCCTCCGCCGCCCCCGCATCAGAATGTGAATGTGAACGTGAATGTGAATGTGGAGCAATTAATGTTTGTGTTTTGTCATTTCAAGCCCGACATCGCCTTCTTCTTGATGGGGATGCTGTTTTTGTTGTTCTTACATTTTATGCGCATAATTAAGTCGGTGTATCCGTAAAAGTATGCGACACTTCCGGCTTGGACAACTGTCGACGATGGTCCCTATTGGAGCTGTGTGCTTTGTGCTGCCTTTTCCTCTGATTTTATTATTTTTTTTTTGCCCCGGCTTGTTCATTGTATTACAATTCATTGAGCATTTGGACCTCGGAACTCTTTCTTTTCGACATGTTTCTTAGCATGACATTCTTGGGGAGAGGGGGTGGGAAACTAAAAATTAACCTGCGGAAATGCCAAAGCACGAAAAAAGAAAGATGATGATCAGCATGGAGAATCGCTGAGAAGGAAATTGGGAAAATATTTTGATGTGTGCTGTAAATTTTCGATTATAACGCCGTTCCCACATCAAGAGATACAATCTCGATTATCTACGCTTGAAATTATCGGTTACATTTGACAGATCTTTCCTGTTCTCTGGCCGTAATTGTTTCTCTTTTTATTGATAATTACCATTTAGATCCTCTGTGTAATATAATTATGGGTCTGTCTCGATTTTGACATTCCGTCTCTGTTTAATATAATTTTTTAACATTTTATAGATCCATAATCGTTGGATACTTGAGCACTAATGGAGGGTCTCATGTCTGGGCATTCGAATTGGCTTGCCCCACAAAGCTGGCTGCCCATCTAAAAATACATATATGTTTTGGGTGAACCTGTTTCAGGGAGTGGGCACAAATTCCGAATAGTTGTCTGGTCTTCATCTTCATCTCCCAACTCCATCTGACATATTGATTGTTTGCACTTTGTTTTTCCCGTTTCTGCTTTGTCAACAATTTCCCCGTATTTATTGTGATTTTCAGTTTTTTTTCTGCTCCCATTGATTAAGACCCCCTGACATTTACTCCATCTGCAGCTCGACATGTTTGACTTTGGCCACGCTGACTTCAGCCTAATCCCTCGGTGGGCGGAACGGGAGGAGCGGAAGGAGAACTTTGATATGGCTTATCTCTGTGCTCGGCCAGGGGTGGGGAAAGTACGTACCAGGGCAGAGCGATTTTGACACATGTCATAGGCAATGGACAAACAGAGTAGTCCACCTCCCCAAGAGGGATTCGCTCCACACTAACCACTCACCACATCTCGTGTAAGCCACAAAAAAACAAATCACTCGAGGGCAACCCCTCCATCTGGTCGCGCTGGCCCCACACTCCCCAGTGGCATTATTTGAATTAAGTGCATACTTAAGCGTAATTTATTGGAAAATCCACAAGAGCCTCCAGGCGACTCTCGGCGGATTGAGCTGGGCCGGGCGCCTCCTCCATCTACCATAAATCTATTGTTTCAGTTGGTGCGAGGTCGCGTCATTAATCTGCAGACAACTCTCTTAGTCCAGTCTGAGATTTCTGAGCAGCAGATGACATTCTATCTATGTGTCTCGGGCTTTGTTTGTGCCCTGCTGCCGGTCTCTATTTGAATAGTTCTCGGGCAAATGTCTCACTCTTCCAATCCGATCCGATCCGCTCATCTTATCTCCTGGTGTCAGACCAAATGGCAGTAAAAAGAGTGGAAAGTGTGGTGTTTGGGGAGGAAAACTCGTTAGAGTTAGTACAATGTGCGGGTGGGTTGTTTATTAGGCTAAGGATTTTCTGCAAACGACATCGATTCCATTTAAAATGCCAAGTGCCCATTTTAAAACCATGTTAACGGTCATTGTTTATGCATTAAAATAACCATTTCTGCTCATAATAATAAATGGAATAATCATCAAATCACTGAATTGGGCCAACATACACTATTTATGTGCTGAATGAGCAATGATATTTAATTCAACACACATTTTAATTACTTCTAAATAAATATTTATGCCGAAATTGGCACAGATATGCAAGGATTTTAATTTATTTGTTTAACTGGAAATGTGGGTGAAATTATAATCTTTTGTTGACCCATAAGAGAAAATATTCAATACATTTCTAGTCAAATATTAGTTTTAATTTCTGAGAGCTCGGAATATGTGTTAAGTAATGGTTTATTCAACTAGAATTCTAATTGGAAATTTCCCTTGTTTCCTCGTTGCCAATTTAATTTGCAAACACAAATCACTTTCTGGTTATAACTCTCTACTAAATTGATATAGAGTGCTTTGGATTCTTCTTGGTATCAAATTATTGTTGTTTTCCTGGCTTAGCTTAAATCGTTGCCACTCTAGACCAACGTCCACTGGCAATTTCCAGTTTTGGTGCGACTTCAAACCGGGCTTCTTGCTGCGTCTACTCCCCGGATTCTTAGGCTTCCACTTCTTGGGCAAAAGAAGAACGAGTTATTGGCATGCATTGAATTTGCTTCGGAATTTGTTGGGCTCTAGGGGGCGATTGAGGGCCGTGAGCACCGTGAGGGCAGTGAGGAGGAGTAGTCGAGCAAAAGAGTAGACAATCAGTGGCATGTATAGAATTTCACTGATTTATGTTTCATATAAGCCGACTATGAGGCTGAGATTCCCTCAAGGCAGCAGGAGCGTGGCATAACCGAAGGATGAGCAGGATGAGCTGCACGATGGAGGAGCAATCCTCCGGTCGGGTGACAATGCAGTGATTACATCTTTTGAGCATACATATATGTACATATACACACCCCCGCAATTTCCGTGATGTGAAAGGCATGCCTTTGCTGCCGCTCAAAAAATATTTCCACAGCTTCGTAAGGAGAACGAGGGGCTGTATGATAAATTTTTGATTAAAGGCCCCCATGACTGGTCTTGATGGGTCTACTTTTACCCCCTCAACTTCCATCTTCATGTGCGTGTAATATGCATTCCGTTTGTGTGCAGAGCTTGCTCAAATTACGTTTGACATCCAATTGAGTTTAAGTTGATTGCCAGTTAAGTGAAACAGAGAAAGATATATGTACATTGGGGAAAGCGATTTTTGACAGCTCAACGCTGATTACTGATTACTCCAGTTATCCAATAACCGAAGATTCCACTTGGTAGTCAGAATCAATCGCGGCTGTCATTTATCCAAATGTTAATTTAAACAATTAATATCCAGTAGCTGCGAGCGCGCGGGATGATGGAGTTGCTTAAACATGTCAATTTGCAAATTAAGTACACAACATGACAGACCAGCAGCGAAAGAGATGGCAAGACAGCGAGCGAAAGAGATGGCAGACCACACAGAGCCAAATATAGATCGAATCTGAATAGTTAGCCTGGGGAATGTAAATGAAGACTGGCACTTGAGAGGGCATAGCGAAGAAACGAAGGGAGCAGAGGGTCATTAGAAACCAGAGATTTAATTGGGCCAGAGTGCTCTTAAATATGATTTGTGAGTTCCCCAAAGGAATCGAAAAGCGGAAGCCCTGAGATTACGTATGCAAGTAATTACTAGATCAGCTTCCAGATAGCATAGTTCCTCAGTTCTGGTAGGTTAGGGCTCATTCCAAGTGGAATGTATAAGCCGAAGAAAACTCTTTTATAAAGTCAGTTTTGCCCAGAGGAAAGATATGATTCCATATAATGGTAAACAGAGTGCTGTTAAATATGATTTATGAGCTCCATAGCCAAATTAAAGTAATTATTATTATGCATACTAAATCCTATTTCACATTGTATCATTTAAATACCAATGTTTCTTTGCACTGATAGGATAGCCCAATATAATCATTCGAAATGTAATGCTTATCCGATAGAAAACTCTTTTCTACTGTATTCCTTATGTTTACTTGTTGATTGGGAACTTGCGCTGAGAAAAACATACCATATGCTATCCAAACAACTGATAATTGTAGTTTTCTGAAGGTGATTAGTGGCCGTAGCCGTAGCTACCGCTCATTCCGACAGGTGTTCCAGGGGATGGTTTTTCTTCCTCTGACGAAAAAAGAGGAGCTAATTTGTGGCCAGGCCATATATCATGGCATTATAACTCAACTGTCGTGAGTTTCCGTACGTCCAACTTCTGCCACTTCTTTTACAATATATATGTAGTTTTAAGTGAAATAAATATACACCGCAAAGCGCGCGCATAGGTTTATATTTAAACGCTCGCAGTCAACGGCAATTTCCTGCTGTTGCCGGCGATGTCTTGCCGAATTTATAGATAATTTTTCATGATTTTCCCGACACATTCTTTCCCAATCTCGTTGCAGATGCGCTCAGCAGGTCGCTGCGATGCCTTCGAGCTGGTGCTGCCGGCAATGCTGATGATGATGAAGTTCCAGTTGCTGCCGCTCTCGCTCCGCTTTAGCTGCTGACAGCCAAGTGCAGTATCCGAAAGATACCACCAGATACCCGAAACAAAGGAAAGGAAAAGTGCGTTTCCTGCTACCTAACTTGTGCGTGGAGTTCTACCTACGTCGCTGCGGATTCTACCTACGATTTCGTCGTAGGGAGTTACAAAAAAAAGAGAGTAGCTCGCTACTCGCTACTCGATACTTTTCGAGCATTGAACGACAAGACAGCTGCCCGTTGCTCAGTTTGGTCAAGAAGCGCGTTCGCGACGGCTGCAAAAGAGCGTACCGCTTTAGGAAATAGGAAATACAGCTCCTTCTCCTTCAACGCTTCGAATCGAATCGCACTAAAGGATTTACAGTGAAACCAAAACCAGTGAAGTGAAGTGAAAGTGCCAGGAATCCTTTCTCCCCGCCAAATATTTACCCAGTGGTGATTGCTGTTGACAAAGTGGATTGGCGTTCGGGGGACACCACTTCCAATTAGGCACGTTGCCGCTGCCGCTGCTTCATAAATGTGCCACAATGGCCGCGCCGTCCAGGACGACGTCGATGCCACCACCCTTCCGGCTCCAGCTTCGGCTCCGGCCCCGGCTACTGATACCCCTACTCCTGCTGCAGCTGCTCCTGCGCCATGATGCGGTGGTCCACGCGGAGCCGTATTCGGGCGGATTCGGCAGCTCAGCGGTGTCCAGCGGAGGCCTTGGCTCAGTGGGCATCCACATACCCGGCGGCGGAGTGGGCGTCATCACGGAAGCCCGCTGCCCAAGGGTCTGCTCCTGCACCGGATTAAACGTTGACTGCTCGCACCGGG